GTGTTTGATTCATGGGCTTGTAGCAATCCTGAAACTCTGTCATAGCTGGTGGGATTCATTTGCTGTCAGTGGTTTATCTGTAGCACAAGACCTCAAGGTGAAAGCATGTTTAGCATGGACTGGTGCTGCAGACTTGAAATACTTTGATGATATTGGAACTTAGCCTTGCAATAGCTACATATAACCGTCTTTTTATCCAGTGCGACCAAAACCGTGATTAACCATGGCTAATTGTTTTAATCACTTGATAGCCCCACTTATCAAGCTCAGTCTTGAAACAAGTTAGGTTTTTTGCCCCCACTACTCCCCTTGGAAGGCTGTTCCAGAACTTCACACCTCTGATGGTTAGCAACTTTCATCTAACTTCAAGCCTAAACTTGTTGATGGCCAGTTTATAGCCATTTGTTCTTGTACTACCACTGGCCCTTAACTTAAATAGCACCTTTCTCTCCCTAATACTTATCCCTCTGATGTATTTATAGAGAGCATCACACCTCCCCTCAGCCTTCGTTTTATTAGGCTAAACAAGCCAAGATCCTTAAGTCTCCTTTTGTAAGGCAGTTTCTCCATTCCTCTGGTCACCTAACAGCCCTTCTCTGAACCTGTTCCTCTGTGGATTCATCTTTGCTAAACATGGGCAGACCAGAATTGCACCCAATATTCCAGATGAGGTCTCACCATTGCCTTGCACAAAGGTAATACACTTCCCTATCTCTACTGCAAATACTTCGCATGATGCATCCTAGGACTGAATTAGCCTTTTTCACAGCTGCATCACATTGGCAGCTCATAGTCATCAACCAATATACCCAGGTCTTACTTCTCCCTCTCTCACTTCCAACTGATAAGTCTCCATGACCTTTCACTTTGCACTAGGGCTGTCAATTAAGGATTAATTCACAGCACGATTAACACATTATTTTTTTAATATGTTAATCTCACTCCAGAGGCAGCGGGGGCCTGGAGCCCAGAGTGTTGTGGGAGGTGGGGGGACATGACCCCCAAACCCTGGAGTCTTCCCCCAGACAATAATTTGTTGTCTGGGCAAATCACACTCCACCTCCACCACGTCTGCTAGTTTTTCCCAGCGGGTCTTAGGAAGCCTACTATGCCCCACAATCATTTTGGTTGCCCTCCGCAGGACTCTCTCCAATTTGTCCACAGCCCTTCTGTAGTGGGGGGCCCAAAACTGGACGCAACACTCCAGATGTGGCCTCACCAGTGCCAAATAGAGGGGAATAATCACTTCTCTCGATCTGCTGGCAACTACTAATACAGCTCAATATGCCTTCTTGGCAACAAGGGCACACTGTTGACTCATATCCAGCTTTGCGTCCACTGTAATCCGCAGGACTTTTCTGCAGAACTGCTGCTTAGCCAGTCGGTCCCCAGCCTGTAGCAGTGCATGGGATTCTTCTGTCCTAAATGCAGGACTCTGCACCTGTCCTTGTTGAACCTCATCAGATTTCTTTTGGCCCAATCCTCCAATTTGTCTAGGTCACTCTGGACCCTATCCCTACCCTCCAGCGTATCTACCTCTTCCCCCAGCTTAGTGTCATCCGCGAACTTGCTGAGGGTGTAATCCATCCCATCATCCAGATCATTAATAAAGATGTTGAACAAAACTGGTCCCAGGACCGACCCCTGGGACACTCCACTTGATACTGGCTGCCAACTAGACATCAGGCCATTGAGCCCGACAATCTCGCCAGCTTTCTATCCCCCTTATAGTCCCTTCATCCAATCCATACTTCTTTAACTTGCTGGCAAGAATACTGTGGGAGACCGTATCAAAAGCTTTGCTAAAGTCAAGTTATATCACATCAACCGCTTTCCCCATATCCACAGAGCCAATTATCTCATGATAGAAGGCAATCAGGTTGGTCAGGCATGACTTGCCCTTGGTGAATCCATGTTGACAGTTCCTGATCACCTCTCCTCCAAGTGCTTCAAAATGGATTCCTTGAGGACCTGCTCCATGATTTTGCCAGGGACTGAAGTGAGGCTGACCGGTCTGTAGTTCCCCAGGTTCTCTTTCTTCCCTTTTTAAAAGATGGGCACTATATTTGCCTTTTTCTAATCATCCGGGACCACCCCCAATCACCAAGAGTTTTCAAAGATAATGGCCAATGGCTCTGCAATCACTCAGCCAACTCCCTCAGCACCCTTGGATGCGTTAGATCTGGACCCATGGAATTGTGCATGTCCAGCTTTTCTAAATAGTCCTTCACCTGTTCTTTCACCACTGAGGGCTGCTCACCTCCTCCCCATACTGTGTTACCCAGTGCAGCAGTCTGGGAGCTGACCTTGTCTGTGAAGACCGAGGAAAAAAAAGCATTGAGTACTTCAGCTTTTTCCACATCCTCTGTCACTAGGTTGCCTCCCCCATTCAGTAAGGGTCCCACACTTTCCCTGACCTTCTTCTTGTTGCGAACACACCTGTAGAAACCCTTCTTGTTACTCTTCACATCCCTTGCTAGCTGCAACTCCAGTTGTGCCTTGGCCTTCCTGATTCCACCCCTGCATGCTCGAGCAATATTTTTATACTCCTCCCTAGTCATCCGTCCAAATTTCCACTTCTTGTAAGCTTCCTTTTTGAGTTTAAGCTCACCCAAGATTTCACTGTTAAGCCTGCCATATTTGCTATTCTTTCTGCACATCGGAATGGTTTGTTCCTGTGCCCTCAATAAGGCTTCTTTAAAATACAGCCAGCTCTCCTGGACTCCTTTCCCCCTCTTATTAGCCTCACAGGGGATCCTGCCCATCAGTTCCCTAAGGGAGTCAGTCTGCTTTTCTGAAGTCCAGGGTCCGTATTTTCCTGCTCTCCTTTCTTCCTTTTGTCAGAATCCTGAACACAACCATCTCATGGTCACTGTTGCCTAGGTTGCCACCCACTTCTACTTCCCCTACCAATTCTTCCCTGTTTGTAAGCAGCAGGTCAAGAGGAGCATGGCCCCTAGTTGGTTCCTCCAGTACTTGTACCAGGAAGTTGTCCTCAACATTCTCCAAAACTTCCTGGATTATCTGTGCACAGCTGTATTGTTCTCCCAGCAGATGTCAGGGTGATTGAAGTCCCCCATTAGAATCAGGGCCTGTGATCTGGAAACTTCAGTTAGTTGTCCAAAGAAATCCTCGTCTACCTCATCCTCCTGGTCGGGTGGTCTATAGCACACGCCCACCACGACATCACCCTTGTTGCTCTCACCTCTAAACTTAACCCAAAGACTCTCAACAGGTTTTTCTCCAGTTTCATACTGGAGCTCTGAGCAATCATACTGCTCCCTTACATACAGTGCAACTCCTCCACCTTTCCTTCCATACCAGTCCTTCCTGAACAGTTTATACCCATCCATGACAGTGCTCCAGTCATGTGAACTGCCCCCCCCCCAAGTCTCTGTTATTCCAATCACACCATAGTTCCTTGATTGTGCCAGGACTTCCAGTTCTCCCTGCTTTTTTCCCAGGCTTGATGTGCTGGTCAACTACAGTGTGCCTGTTTAGGGTGTGGTAGTCAAAACACATCTGGATTTGCCCACTCATCTAACAGATTATTGCCAGGGGGGAGGCATATGGGCTGCAGGATTCTGCAATGATGACATTACAATCAGCTCCTGAAGATGTTGTCGCACATCCTCCATCTCTGGGACTGCCTGAAACGTCGAGAGTCATGTAGTCTGATGTTGTGCTCTACTCCTTTTGCACATCCCACATCCCACTCATGCAGTGAGAATACCTTGGATCTTTCACAAAGTTTCTTCCTCAGGCGATCCTTCCACTCCTCAGATAACGGTGAAGTCCAACTTTGTGGGATCCTCATGCTAGGATCTCACAATGGTTTTGGGCTCGAAGAGATCTGCAATCTTTTGCCGGGGTGCCGGAACGGGGGGGGGGGGGCAGGGGACCATGGCCCTATTACTTTTAAAGGCAGGGCCTTGAGGAAAGAGGCAGAGTGAGGATGGGGCCTCAGGGGAAGAGGCGGGGGGGACGGAGCCACAGCTCAGGTGCCGGTGGCTTCCCCACTTCTAGGGAGCTTCCGGTGCTCCTGTCTTGTGCCCTTGTTTCAGAACGACATCACTGCTTGTTTCATTAGCAATCAGTATTGTCATCAGACATCACCGGTGTGACACTCTGCTCTGTCAAATGTTGATAACCGTTCGGCTGCGTGCATGTGCTCCCTCTGTGTGCTGCCCCGGCTCTGCGCAGATCGCTGGCACAGCAGACCCCGAGAGAAACCCCAATGACCACAGACTCTGATAAGGTACGAAGGCACCCGGCCAGGTTTATTGCCAAAGCACAGTCTCTAGCTCCCTGGATCAGATGTCTACAGTTCTTCTAGTACATGAGGGCCTCCGACAAAGGGACGCAGCTCAGTCAGTGGTGGGAATTTCCACTGCCCCCTAGGCTGGACAAAGATACTTCTTCTGAGATACATTTTTATACACAGATACAAACAAGTTACATATTGGTCCTGACGTACCAGGGTGCCACCCTTTGACGTATCCAGGGGCCGCCTGTTACCTTGCACATGTTGGTTCAATCAAAACATCCCTATCCATCATGCTGTCACCTTTCTTTCTTTCTTTCTTTCTTTCCCATCACCCCAAAAAATAAAACAAAGGGGCTGATTTGTAGAGGTGCTGAGCACCCAAATCTCCAGCTGAAGTCAGGGGGATCTGGGAGTGCTCCACTTCTCTGGCAGTCAGGTCCAAATTAAACTCCTTGGGCATCTTCCGCTAAACAAGGAGCCCATTCTCTAGTCTGCCCCAGGCTCTTTTTGCTGCTCCCACCTTCCTGGACTGGCTCCTGGTGACCCCTGCTCCTCTCTGCGTGTGGTAGAGGCTGGACAGGGAGCTAATGAGACCTGGTGGCAACACCACACCATGGAGAGTGATTCCAAAACAGAACGTAAGAACAGACCAGCATCCCTCCCAGAAACAACACCTGAGCACTGTGCTGGCCCCCTCCAGCCCAAAGCCTGCTGGGTTCTTAGAACTCACTCAAATCTGAGCCGAGGCCTCCAAAGGTGACAGGCTGTCAGTGCTAACCACCCACTTTGCTACTCCGCTCCAACATGCAAAATGTTTCCATGCCAGTTAACTAAGGCCTTACAACAGTTATAATTACAGAAAGAGAAATCCCCAAACTCACCCATTGTTACTTTATTATCTTTACCATGACATTGTCAAACTTCTTCTTCCAGGCCCAAGAGCTGCCAATCCGTGCACTGAGAAATCCGAACTACGGATTGTTCTTGTTGGTAAAACTGGAGCTGGGAAAAGTGCAACAGGAAACTCCATCCTCGGTGAGAAACTGTTTGAGTCTAAAATCTCAGCACCATCAGTATCAGTGAAGTGTACTAAGAAGAGAAGGGATTGGAATGGCAGGGACATTGCAGTCATTGATACGCCTGGTCTTTTTGACACAAAAATTCCTTCAAAAGAAACTATGAAAGAACTAGAGCGTTGTGTGGTACTCTCCTCCCCAGGACCCCATGCTATAGTTCTGGTGATGCGGTTGGATCGTTTCACTGAAGAAGAGAAAAATACAATTCAACGAATACATTACATTTTTGGGGGAAACGCTGCACAGTACATGATCTTCTTGTTCACCAGAAAAGATTACTTAGATGGTTATACTTTACAGGATTATTTAAAAGATTCCAGTGACAAAGATCTTCAGATATTGATGGAAAAGTGCGGGAATCGATGCTGTGCTTTCAACAACAGAGCGAAAGGACAGGAGCAGGAAGCCCAGATTTCAGAGCTGATTGAAATAATTGATAAGATGGTGCAACAGAATGGAGGCTCACATTATACCAATGACATGTATGAATATGCTCAGAAGAAACTTCAAGAAAAAATCAAAATGCTCAGAGAACCCTATAAGGAAGTGATGGAAAGAAAAAAAAGAGAAGTGACAACTCAGCATGATGAGGAATGTAAAAAAATAGATGAGGAATTAAAGAAAGGAAGCTCACATGATAAAATCACTTTGAAACAAAAGCAGGAGGCCATGAGACAAAAACTGGAAAAAGATTTAGAGGAAATAAATAGCTGCTACCAGGAACACCTACGTGAAGTCAGGGAAAGAGCTGATGAGGATGTTACTATAACAGACCCTGTTTTAAAACCATTCACATATATGTTTTCAAATATGAAACGCTGGTTTCAATAACGATTGACTTACTTTACTTTCTCCTTCTCTTGCCACTTTGCCAGTTTTTCAGTAGTGATGAATGGAGTTTCAGTGCTTTGTAACACTTTAACCTCCTAATTTTTTCTGCACAGAAGTTTACATTCGTATCAGCTTCTTAGTCAACCTTGTACTTTCACACCCTACAGCGGATGCATACAAAGCATGAGTAAATGAAGCTCTTAGCATTTGTTTTTTATAAACATTGTGTGTTGGTTCCATTAAAGATTCTGGCTACAGCTATTAGATCTCTTCTGGACTAAGAGTTGGAATAAGCTGGGGTTGATGTATTAATTGTGATATTGCTGTCAATATGGTGGTGAATGTCGACCTTACTTCTGTTAAGGAATCATTTACAGACATCAGAATCTGTTCATAAAAATAACTATTCATAAGTATTCACTGATCAGTTTGGATGAACAGTTCTCAGCTCATTGGTTGTTCTCAAGCAGTTCATTCTGACTAGTCAGTATCTGTAACTTGTGACTGGCAACCCAAGTCACATGGCATTGTTTCTGCTTCTGGGTGGAAATTTTGTAAACAATCGAATAACGAATGATGTATGATGGAGATTTTCAGACCAATAATCTGAAAATTCATGAAACCTTCAAAAATTGCAAATATTTTTTCACATTCAACTCAGCACTTCTATTCACTAAAGTATTTGTGATTAAATTTTTACAAATATTCAACCAGTTCTAACTGCCGTGTAACTCCCATAGTCCTACCTATGGATAAGGCTGAACGTTGGTCATGGAGATCACGGAAGTTTCGGATTCTGTGACTTTCCGTGACCTCTGTGACTTCTGCAGCAGCTGGTTGGGCTGGCTCCGGGTTTGCCTGAGCAGATTGGGCAGCCCCTGGGCAAGCTGCGCCGGCCGCTGTTGGGGCAGTTTGGGTGTGGGAGGGGGCTCAGGGCTGGGTGCAGGGCTGCACTTACCTCGGGGCGGGCTCCCCAGAAGCAGCCGGCATGTCCCTGCAGCTCCTAGGGGGAGGGAAGGCCAGGGGGGCTCCTCCATGTGCTGGCCCTGCCACGAGCTCCGCCCCCACAGCTCCCATTGGCTGTGGTTCCAGGACAATGGGAGCTGCAGAGCCGGAGCTCATGTCAGGGGCAGTGCATGGAGGATCCCCCCTGGCCTTCCCTCCCCTCAGGAGTGGCAGGGACATGCTGGCTGCTTCCAGGGAGCTGTGCAGAGTCTGGTAGGGAGCCTGCCAGCCCTGCCCACCCTCCCCTTTCAGCAGCAGCAGCAGCCGGGGTCCCAGGCCACACGCCACCATCTGCACACACACCCCAGCACCAGTGGGGGTCCTGGGCTGCATGTGACCACTCGCCCTCCCCCGAACCAGCAGAGGTTCTGGACTGCATGCCGCCACCCACCCCCAGCACCCACGGGCCCCTCCCAGCACCTGCAGCCCTCCAGCCCAAGTTTTAGTTAGGGGTATATAGTGCAAGTCATGGGCTGTGAATTTTTGTTTACTGCCCATGGCCTGTCCATGACTTTTACTAAAAATACCCGTGACTAAAACGTAGCCTTACCTCTGGATATAGCTTACAGTAATTAGGTAATGTGGTTCTCCTATATTTTCCTGTTTAGCCTCTGATTTGTTGTGAAATGTCATGTGATAATTTCCATGACTTATGAATGATGCTATGAAAATAAATGTTATTGTTTATATTTAACCATATGGCAGCACTTGGGGTTTTAGATCTTGATGATTCGAAGTACTTTTAAGCTGAATTTTAGGACACATCTCAACCCAGATATTGTTTATGTAGCCAATTAGTTCATTTTGTCATCCATTTATCCTTGTGCTATGTGATGTTATGGTCAATGTATATGCTATTTCGTATATAATCAATGTATGCTAAATAGATTTAAGTTGTAGGATTATAGAAGTATAGGACTGATAAGTATTTAGGAGTGATGAGTATATATTAGGTATATAAGTAAAGCCTGGCTGAAATGCAAGGTCCACAGGCTGAAACCTGTAAGATTTTAGCTTTGTGACACTGAGGCAGAAAGGGTTAAGCAATTTATAGGCTACATGACCCAAATTCAACCTTTAAAGACATATTAGGAAAGTATGTAAACGGTAAATAGGGCTATTCCTTATCAATAGCTAACAAAGCCATGTTAAATAAACCAGAGCTTTGAATGTAGACTTGTGTTTTTAGAGAATTGGAAGAAGATAGTGATTGTATTTGTCAGTGTTTACCGATATCATATTAGAGGTTAGCAATGTAACCAGAGGGTCTGTCACTATGTTCTATTGATTCAAAGATCAAAAGGGAATATTAACATTTTGATGAAGCTTGGGTGTACCAATATCATTGTCTTGATTTCTCTTTGAAGTTTCTAGTAAGCTACCTGTAAATAGATAGAGATGGACAGTTGCCTTATGCTAACCCTTGCAGCTAATTACCAGTGGTGCTCAGGAAATAGGAAGTTTTACTTCAAAGCCACAATGCTTCACCCAAGGAACACCTGCTGTCAAGAGGCTGCCAGAGAACTATATAAGGACTCTTGTGCCCTGATCCTGTATCTCAGATCTGTGTAAGCTTCATCACGGGAAGTTTAAAATCACAAGACTAAGGCCTGGTCTACACTACGGGGGTTAGGTCGAAGTTAGCCGCATTAGGTCGATTTTATAATGAATGCGTCTACACAACGAACCCCATTCCGTCGACCTAAAGGGCTCTTAAAATCGACTTCTGTACTCCTCCCCGGTGAGGGGAGTAGCACTAAAATCGACCTTAATGGGTCGAATTTGGGGTAGTGCAGATGCAAATTGACAGTATTCGCCTCCGGGAGCTATCCCAGAGTGCTCCATTGTGACCGCTCTGGACAGCACTTTGAACTCCGATGCACTAGCCAGGTACACAGGAAAAGCCCCAGGAACTTTTGAATTTCATTTCCTGTTTGGTCAGTGTGGCGAACTCAGCAGCACTGGTGACCATGCAGTCCCAGAATCGCAAACGAGCTCCAGCATGGAGACACTGGATCTGATTGCTGTATGGGGAGAAGCATCTGTGCAGGCCGAACTCCGATCAAAAAGAAGAAATGCTAAAAATCTCACAGGGCATGGTGGAGAGAGGCTACAACAGGGACACACAGCAGTGCCGCGTGAAAGTTAAGGAGCTGAGGCAAGCCTATCAAAAGACAAAGGAGGCAAACGGTCGCTCCGGGTCAGAGCCCCATACATGCTGCTTCTATGATCAGCTGCATGGCATTCTAGGGGGGACCCTACCAGTACCCCACCGCTGTCCGTGGACACCTGCAAAGGGGGAGTCTCACGCAACAGGGAGGAGGATTTTGCGGATGAGGAAGAGGAGGAGGAGGAGAATGCGCAGCAGGCAAGTGGTGAATCCGTTCTCCCCAGCAGCCAGGACCTTTTCATCACTCTGGAGCCAATACCCTCCCAAGGCGGGATCCCCGACCCTGAAGCCGGAGAAGGCAGTTATGGTGAGTGCACATTTGTAACTACAGTACAGGGTTTAAAAGCAATAGTGTTTAATGTTTGATTTGCCCTGAGGACTTGGGATGCATTCGCGGCCAATACAGCTACTGGAAAAGTCTGTTCACATGTCCGGGGATGGAGCGGGAATCCTCCAGGGACATCTCCATGGAGCTCTCCTGGAGGTACTCTGAAAGACTTTGCAGAAGGTTTCTGGAAAGGGCTCCATGGTAGGACACTTTACCACGCCAAGCCAGTAGCAAGTAGTCTGGAATCATTGTAGCACAAAGCATGGCAGCGAATGGTCCTGGGTTTTGGTCGCATTAAAGCAACATTCGGGCTTTCTGTTAGCCTCAGGAGAGTGATATTATTCATGGTCACCTGGTTGAAATAGGGGAATTTTTGTAAGGGAACAGTAAAAGGACCCCATTCATGCTGGGCTGTTTGCGTTTGGCTAAAAGGGATCATCTCAGAGAATAGCCACGCGGCGGTGGGAG